ATTGAGATTGGGGTTGAGTTTGTTCTTGCGGCAGAGCCTCACATACATTAGTCGGGTCTCTACCCCCAAGTAGCTTGGCAAAAGAAACCTTAGAGTTCACAATTTTAGCGGGTCCTCTTCTTGGTTTAGGTGTATCATCAGGGTCCCTGGGTTTCATATATCTCGCTTTAAGATTTTTATAAATTTGGCAGCCTTTGTAGTTGGCTGGATGGCCTTCCAGGCATAGGGCACAGACTGCTGGTTCTGTAATTGGTTTATTAAACTCGCCAGACTTGTGTGTTTTACCACATTTCACGCAGCGTGGTAAGTGGTGGCAATAAGACTTGGTGTGGCCATATGCTTGGCAATTATGGCACTGGATGAACTCTCTTTTTGGGTACGGTTTTTCGACCTTTACGCTGGTGTAGAAAATTCTATTCACATCGTATATTTTCTCGATCCCAGGCGATGGCTCTAGATCGACGAAAAATAAGGGCAATGGGATTTTATTCTTTACACCTGGTTGTTCTTTATTTTCTTTTAAAACATTGGTTATCTGACGTATTTTGAACCCTAATGCCGTTAACTCTTCTTTAATCACTTCTATTGGGGTTGAGGAGTGTAAATTTCTTATTACAACTCGTAGTGCTCTTTCCTGTTTCAACTGGTATGTGTGAAAGTCCGCATTTGTGTCTGTTGAATATTTTACGATTTTTCGGTACGCTTCAGGTGTGGCCGGTATTATTTTTGTATCATTTATTCTGTTTAGGCATGTATAGCTACCTGGGCAGATTTTATTAAGTTGAGTACACAACAACTGGAAATTTCTCAAATTTTTGACAAAGATAGGAGGTGGGCGTGGTTCTCGAGGTATAGGTGCATCTTCCATTTCTTCCCTGTCATTTTCAAGCACCTGGTATGGATTAGGTGTAAAAAATGGAGATTCCATTTCTTGTGAAGACGTACTTGGCAGTGGTTGAGACACAGATTCTTGAGTGTTCGCTGGAGGAGTTCCGGGGGGTGTTCGCTTATTTTTTCTGTTTAGGCGGTGAATTACGTGGGGTAGAGCCAACTGAATGGGACCTCTTAGTTGACATTACTTGGTGGTAATATCGCATATAAAAAAAAAAAAAAGAAAGGGGAAAAAAAATAAATAAATAAAACTACGTCTGCGTGTTATTACAATGGATGAACCACCGACTGAGAACCAGCCAGTTACGTGGCAGGGCCACAACTGGAGAGGAGAGCCGTCAGCTGTTATGGCTATAGAGATTAAGCCTATAGACGCTAAATCACTAAATTCACTGTCTGTAATAGTACACAGTAAATAACAACACTACTCACTGTGGTGTTAGTCCATTGTTGTTGTTTTGATGTCTGCTTAACTAGTTTTTTTAAAAAAAAGTAAAACTGAGCACTTATTCTACTAAAAAATAGTAAAACTGTGGGACACGACGTGAAATGTGGGTATTCAAATCAAGCGCATGCGCAGAACTAAGCCAAAAACTAACTTAATTAAGAATCAAAGAATACATACAACTTAAACAATAGTATGTAAATGGCTAAAAAATAAAATAAAATCTTCTCAACTATACTTATAATTGTATTTGAAAGAAAATTAAAAAAAAAAAGTTACAAAAGGTTTTGAATGTCGATAAGGATTTTTTATTTACCATATATTTCTATTATTATCTATTTTTAATCCATATACACTGACAGGCAAAAAATTCCACCTGCTTTTACCCATTAAGGAACCACGTTGGAAAGGTTGGCTCTGGGAAAAATTACAGGCTGCATATCTTTCGTTTCTTCTTCTCTACAACCTTTCACGCCCGTCTGGAGATCGAAGAGCGAATCTTGACTCATCTGTAAAAAGTACAGCACTCCATTCGTCCATAGTCCAATGGCTGTGTTCTCGAGCAAAAGCCCCAGCCCTGTTACTCTGTAAGTTCTGGTCATCTCTGGTCCTCTTACTGGACAAATAGCCATTAATCCATACTCATTTAATCTTCTCCGAGCGGTACGTTCAGAAATTTGCACACGTCGAACTTCTTCGAGCTTTTTTTTTTTTTTTTTTCGCCCTGCCTGGCATTGTTGCCATACGGGCTTTTGGCAGCAGTGGGTCAATACGTTTGGGTTCTCGTCTAACCACTGCGGCCAATAATCAACATTTATTTATCTTTAACAATAGGGAATTTTCATTTATTTAACATAAAATTAAATTGGGTATACTGTTGTGCGGCCCGATACACAGTTGTGCACTTTTATGATGGGGCCGCACCTTGTCCTCACCGCATCCGTCCGGTCCTCAGTCTTCTTCGTTCTCCTCTGGTGGTCTTCTCACTCCCAAGGAGAAATGTGCAGGGCCGATTGTGTCTCTCCACCCGTATACAAACTCCCTAAAGAGCGGGAATTTTCTTCCTCCACTAGGCGGGGAAAATCCTGTTCTGTTAGGCTATACAGCCCTGCTTCCTCCAAGAGTTTGGCACGGCGTCCCTCCATTGCCGTGCAGGATACCAGGATGTGTTCTGCCGTCTCGGGGACTCCGCAGGGAGGACACCGGGGGTCGATGTTCTTCCCATGGTCAGCCAGCCAGCTTTCCCCGGAACCCACCATGTCCTGTGAGAATCTGCGAGACCCAATGATCAGGGCGAACCCAAGTAGCCTTAAGTCTGTCTTGGACGGTTGGGAAGAACTTTCTGAAGGTGGATCCTTTCTCGCTTGTCACCCACCGTCTGTTCCACTCCTGGATGGATTCCTCCCTGACAATCTTCTTCCATTGGTTAGGGTTCTCGCAGATTCTTCTTCGGAGTCCCTCCGGTAGCGTATCCAGTCCCTGCCTCTTAATCTCGAACTTCAAGGCGTCCTCGTTGAGTATAAGATCCCGGGGCATCGCTCCGGCCAGCACCTGCACCGCCTCGTGGGACACCGTTCTATAAGCTCTCGTGACGCCCAGCAGGGCCAGGCGTTGTATGGTGGCCAGTCGTCGCTTGTGGTTTTGCTTCAAGTTTCGGCTCCACGCGGGGGATGAGTACCTCAGGATACCCAGGATGACTCCTTTGTATATTGTCATGGTTGCCGGGTACCTGAGGCCCCAGAAGGCACCTCCGATTCTTCGTAGGCCATTCATCGTCAGGGTCACCCTACCCCTTAGGTAATCAAGCCGTCGAAGTTTCTTCTGATTCGTACCCCTAGGTATGTCGCCTCCTCACCTACCCTGACCCTTGCACCTTGGATGTCCAGATTGATGAGCCCTGTCCGTGGAGCCTCTTACGATATGGCTTGCGTTTTTGCAGCTGCCATGGTCAGTTTCCGCTTGACGCACCACTCTGAAACTAGACTGGAGCACCTCTCCGCTTCCGTCTTTAGTCTGGCTCTGCTGTTCATAGCCACGATTACCGCCAGGTCGTCGACGTAGGCCGTGGCAAGGAAACCCCTGTTTTCCAGTTCCCCCAGCAACTGGTCGAAGACGAGCTTCCACAGGGCTGGACCTAGGACTGAGCCCTGCGGACAGCCCCTCTCTATCCTCCTCTCGACGTCGTAGTAGTTACCCCTGATCCTGACGGTTCTTTGACTGAGGTAACTGCCTACTAGAGAATAAAGGTTACTGGGGGTGTCGAGCTCTTGCAACCGCTGGAGTACGCATGGCCACCATACACTGTCGCAGGCGGAGGATATGTCAAACAGTATCAGGAGGACGTACTTCTCCTTCCCCTCCACATCCCTGCGCACTCTAAGCAGTGCATCTGTGGTTCCCTTGCCACGTGTCGAGCCGAACTGCCGTGGATGGCTAGCTGCATTGAGGATCGGTCTCAGGCTAGCGGCCAACATTTGTACCAGGACCTTGCTGACGACCGGGAGATAGGCTGATAAGCTTTGGGCGATTCCTTGTCCTTGCCTCCTCCCTTGTAGAGCAGTCTCAAGTCTGCAATCCTCCACTTGCTTGGGTACTATCCCTTGTCCAAGCATTCATTCATGATGAGGAGGAGTTCCTCTTCTATGTGAGGGGTACTTTTCTTGAGGATTGCAGCGTCTATGCCGTCAAGTCCTGGAGCTCGGCCGATCCTCTGCTTCTCCACGGCCAGACGAAGGTCCCAAATGTCCCATGGTGGGCATAGGTCGGTACCAGGCGGGTATGACGTGGTGCGTCTCGCCATGCTATCAGCTTCGCTATCCTGGGACGGGTCATCCCTGGATAGCGAAGCTGATAGCATGGTGAACTTCTTCGAGCTGATGAATCGCTTGAACAACGGTAAGGTGACGGTTTCTTAAAATTCTTCTTAAGTCAAAAACCGGTCATCCCGTGGTTCTGTTACCCTAGGCCGTCCAGAACCGGACCCTTCTATTGTAAGAACCAGTTTCCCGAAAACGCCTGACGGCGTCTCGTAAAGTTTCATATGGAACGCTGCATATCTAATGGAACGTCCATCATCAATAAGTGCCACACGACGCGCAACATCCTTAGCACGAAGAGGCATTTTTAAACTTAATGTTGAAAAAATTAAAAGCCGGAGACTAAGCAATGTGCTGCAAGAAACGGCACTGTACTAATTAATGATACTGAATAAACATTTTGATTCCTTAGAAAGTAAACATTGGAATCTAGAATCATTTCATTCAATTAAGGATTAAGGGTTATTGTCCTTAACATTAACATTCCTAATTAAATACAAACCAAAAGATTACTTATTTATTCATTAAAAACAATAGACCAATCCAAAGCAGAAATATTTTTAGATGAAAACATGAAAAAATCAAGTAGGTGGAATTTTTTGCCTGTCAGTGTGTATATATATATTGGGTTGGCAAATAAGTCCTTTCGGTGTTTTCAGGGTGAAATAAAACTCAATATATTATAGACATAAAATTTATTTTAATAGATTATTGGTTCATTATTGAAATTAATTAACCCAAAATGAAATATTTTCATTTTTCTTTATTTTCTTGATTATTTGACAAAGCTGATTAAGCCACAGTACTGATATAGCCTGCTAGATCCTGACTGACAGGGATACGCCCTACTACAATAGCCCTCCTATGTTGCCAATATATCTAGCTTCCTTGATCGGCGTCCCCATGACAGCGACTTGACAGTCCCGCGTGCTCTTCTGTCGCGTGGCCATGTACAACTTATCGGGGCGGATTTCCCAGGTAACGTCATCACAGAGTCGATTATCTATTTTTAAACTGTATTTCAAATCTGTTAGGTAATGTATATTTCTATGGTCGGTTTATTGTTGAAATTGGCCCCTAAACGAACACTATTTAGGGTCAGTTGAAGTTGAAGCTAGAACTACAGTCGATCATTCCTGAGTTTTATGGTTGACCGTAGTTGAAGCTTGAATTTGACTTAAACTCCAATTGTACAACTGGCCCTTAATGTAAATGAAACTTATTAGAATTCAATTTATAAAAACCACGATTGCTTTATTAAAATGTTTGAAAGTTTTGGAGATCCCACGCGATTTAAGTTCTTAAAGTTTAAATAAAGCTGTATATCTAATATATTTATATTCTTTATTTTCAGATAGGTTTAGTGAGTGTATTAGCAATAAGTAAATTTTTAGCAGTTGGTTAAGTGAGGATATAGTCTTACAAAGGACACCTCTAACGATACATTGTAAATAAGCAGGAATGTTTTATTTATTTATTTTGTTTTGTTTCTTATTTGTGTTATTTCATATTTTATTTAATCTGTTTTACTAAGGTTTCTTTTTGTTATTTTTGTTATAATTTCTATTTATTTCTGTAATTGTATATATTGTACGAATGAGTTTCTTATATCTCAAATACTTAATGCCCTTGAATGAGGCAAAATGTATTTTTTTTCTATAAAAAAAAACAAAAAAAAAACTATACATGATGTGTTTAACTATGAACAAGTCAATTTTGTAGAGTAAATGAATAGTAATCCAGAAATGAAGCTTAAGAAAAGAAAAAAGAATCAACATAAAAACAAAACGAAAAATTAAAATTAAAATAAACTATGAAAAATAATAACATAAATAAGTAATATATATATATATATATATATATATATATATACATAATAGAGTTCAGATTAGGATGTCTTGTATAGGTCTCAGTCTACTGAATGATTCCGGAGTTCCTTTGTTGAAAGCTACTAACTTTAAATGCTGTTAACTGGCAATAAAAGAGAAACTGGGAATTATATTCGGGAATTTTAAAGAAACTGGCAATTATATTTGGGAATTATAAAGAAACTGGCAATTATATTTGGGAATTATAAAGAAACTGGCAATTATATTTGGGAATTATAAAGAAACTGGCAATTATATTTGGTATAGCGTAAGACAAAAATTAAATGGGGTGATATAGTTATAGCTAAAATATGATGTAATAGTATGCTAAAAGGAAGTGAGATAACCATCGCATATGATTATCTTTTTGTGGTATATATCTATTTTGATGCTATATATCTATTTTTATACTATATATATGTATCTTTTTATGCTATGATTATCTCACTTCCTTTTAGCATACTATTACATCATACTTTAGCAACTAACGACACCCCATTCATTTTTTGTCTACTCTTAGGTTTTTTTTATCTCATTCCACAACTTTTCGTTGTTAATTCATTTTTTATCTCTTATATTACCTTGTTTTGATTATGTTTCTTTCATTAGTCCCTACTTTGTTGCCGTTATTATTTATTTCTTAGTTCTCTATTATTGTTATTATTCTATCTACTTTATTTTACTTTAAGTTTATTTTATGTACTTTATTTTACTTAAAGTTTATTTTATGTACTTTATTTTACTTAAAATTTATTCTACCTATATTTTTTAGACTATACCTTTCACCTACATATTAAATTTCATTATTTAATGTTTATAGTTTCCCATTCCTATTGTTATCTGGGTTTTTCTAAGCCCTGATGAAGGCCTGAACTTCTGGCCGAAACGTCGGCAAAAATAAATATACTTACTTATGTTTACTTTTTTATTTTTTAAGTTATCACCCCAACCATTCTTATCTTCAAAAATTATAATGGAGCTATATTAAAACTTGATTGTGTTTTTAAATTTTATTTATTTTTTCTTTTAGTTTATATACAATTTACTTTAGTATTATTATATTGCCGTTTATTATTTTTATTTATTTTATGGTATGAATGAGCTACTCTATGTCACTATGACTATTGTTCTTGAATGTGACAGATTGTAATATACCTCAATGAAGAAGTTTTAAAAAAAAAGTATTTTCTAAGAACATCTATTCAAATGAGAAACCTTTTCCTTCTTATTGAATAATGTTAATGTTAAGCCATGGAAATTATCAACACCGTTAGACTTTTAGCCCCCTTAAATATATGTTAGGTAATGAAGACATTTAGAACCTAATCGAAAGTCAACAAGTTATTAATCGATAGTCATTAAAAAATTAGACAGTTGACCTCTGATCCCCCGACGTTCTCCTTAGGGAATATCTTTCCTATATCCTACCTCTCACCTGCGACCTATAATAAACCTATTTATTACGCACCATCATAGATTTATGGCAGCTACTAGAAAAAATGAAACAGTAAAGACGTCGGTCTATACCTGAGTACTCTACTCTGTGCCGTAGAAGTCCGCAATTATCCACATTAGTAGATCCAATCTCCTTTCTCGAGGATGGAATGCTTTCTCGAAGTGGCCAGTCATCGAATGGGGAAAGGTCCGCTTCTGCGAAAAGCATTACCGATGACTGGGTCTTCGTTATCGCCGATCAGGACTTCTATGGTTGGAGTTTGTTCTGAGGAAGCGATCAATAATTGGGGTATGCAGTCTTGTTCTTCGCTTTTGCCATTTCATTAAAATATATTTAGTAGAGAAATATTCTCTTAATAAGTTCAAAATTTTCTTAAACCTATATTCCGCAAAAGCTGGAGATACATCAGTTCATTACAGCTACATCATCATTAATATTTTAACAGACCAATAGTTCTATTTAGATTATTACATTATAAAAAAAAACTAAGGTGTGTGCTTTAGACCACACGATAGAAGTGAAAACATCTACTATTAATAGTATGAAATATAAATTATAAATAATAGCTCATTATAAAGAGGATGAAATACTGAACATTTCTCTCGCTTACAGCATGCAGGTCCAATTTTTAGTTTCTGTGATATTTTAATCCATATCTTCAAGAAAACTCGTTATCATTTGTTTTGTTTACATTATTTTTATTTTTCATCTCCCTAACACGGCGTCGCGTTAAAATACAGTTTTTAATAATAGGCCATTTTAGAGAGGATGAAATTTTGAACATTTTACAGTGTGCAAGTCAGATTTTTAGTTTTTTAGATATTTTAATATATATGCAAAAACACTTCAATTAGTCGACTCCAGCCGACATTACCCAAGCGTTACACTTCGCAGATCTGACGGCTCAATCTGATTTACGTTACACAAAAAAAGTGCAAAATACACCTAAAGAATTCTTTACATAAAAACAAAAGTAAAAATAAAGTTGTGAAAACATTTACTTGTTAATATGAAACTAAAACCTTTTATAGCAAATCATAATACAGCGCCATTTTAATCATTTTTGAAATAAATAATAATTTTACAAAATAATCAACTTCACTCCAACTAATTACTTAATGTTAACATTTAAAATAATGGAGGGAGCAGAAGAGCTCAATATGTAGGACACTGTGCTCTTATTCTTGAGTCCGGTTCTGTAGGTAATTATTTATTCTGTTACATACAGCAGCCGCGGACCGACCTTGGGTTCCAAATAACTCCTGAGGCATACCCTGCTACTATATATAGTAGTTACTCTAATTAAATAATTATTTATTGTTCTATTTTTTATCTTTATCATAAAAAATAATTCGTATCAACCTAAGTAATGGTGCACGCTATTAAAATATTGTAAAATAATATGACTATTTGACAAAGCAGCTGCTTAAAGTTTAACACTTAAAGACGAACGCTTTCACCGCCGGTACCGTTATCTTTCATCCAAAGCTCTTCCCAGAAATGCTTTATACAATTAATATACCAATAACACGTCTTATATAACATAATTAAGGTAATATAAAGACGTTACAAAAATAATGTGGTGATTCAGGATGTTAGTGGTTGCCAGAAGTTTGGTCCATGGGCGATCTGTTTCAGGGAAAAAATATTGTATAAATCAATTTAAGCTTTCTGAATCCGAGCAGCCATAATTCATGGATCTAGACCGATTTGTCTCTGACCTTGAACCGGAGTGAGTCATTGTTAAAGGCACTCAGATTTGTCACAAAGGGGTCATGCAATAAACGTCTGTAAGCAGACCAAATCGAGGGACCAATCACCTACATTGTCCAATAGCTTGTAGTACCAACTGAAACAATTTTTTTTTTAATGTTATATCCGAGAAGAAGAACATCCGACTCCTATTAGACTCTTTTATTATTTGTAAGCAATACAGTATGTATTTCAGTTATAATCTATTCTTGCAGGACTGAATTATTATTGAGCTTGCAAAATGGTTTTAACTTTTTTTTTTTCACGCCAGCAGGCGCACTAATATAGCGTTGACATGAGGAGTACAAAGACATTAGTGGCGACCCCCTCTGGTGGCCAATGTCGTGACTGACAGAACTCGGAGACATGGAGCGATGAACAGAAGACACGCTGTGTTGTCCTTCTAATGGTTTGATGGCTTCATAAGTACTCTGTCGATGATGGTTCGCCATCTTGTCTTCTGCGAAATAAGTTCTTCCGAAGCAGTTGCTGGCATAAGAGAATTGCAATTTTCCACTATTCGACATATGGATCATGTGTGATTTTTTTTTCAATGAATCTTATTTAGAATTATAAATATAAATAGAAGATAACTATATTCTGGGACAAAGTCCCTTTAGAATAACAAAATAGTACATAATTAAAAGACTACATCTGGCCAAAATAAAAAATAATAAAAAAAGAGAAAGTATAGAAAATATTACTAAAACAAACTATGTACAAAAAAAAAAAATAATAATAAATCTATATACAAAACACTTAAAACTATGTACAGTAGGATAAATTATAATTATACATTTTTGAAAAATAAAATAATAAAAAATACATTGAGTTTTTCTTTAAAATAGGCTTTGTTTCTGTTAACATACGAAAGACTAATCTGACGAAATAAAATGTTAGAGTATTTAAGTAATGAATAATATCTAAACACATCATTATCTTATTGTAACTATAAGTACAAATGTATTTGTATAAGAATAAAAAAAAAAAAACAATAGATGCATTTAGTGGCATTGGGAGTCGAAAGATATTGTAAAATTCCTAGTGAAGTTTACAGTATGGTATAATAGAAATGTATAATATCAAAAGCTTAGCAAGCATCTGACTGTTTTTGGGATAGGAATTGGAATAGGAGGGTTTTGAATGTGGATGTGGAAGGAGAATGCCGAATTTTGATAGGTAGGGAATTCCAGAAATTGACAGCGCGAGCAGTAAAGGAATTTTGAAATGAGGCAGATCTGTGAGAAGGGATGTAAAGAACAGAAGGTCGAGATCTTGTTGAAGGACTTGGATTGGAGAAGGATGTAGGCGTAAGAAGGACGATAACTGTTGATGATTTGATAAAGGAACGTATCTAGGAAATATTGTCTTCGAACGGAGGGAAAGAGCCACCTTAACTCAGTGTAGTGGTGAGAGACATAGGAGTATCTCGGGACACCAATAACAAATCAAACGCAGCTATTCGTTATATTTAATGTATCTGATAAAACTAAAAAAAGTCTATTTATTTACTTGTAATTTTTATTTCATTATTATTATCTTCTGAATTTTCTCGCACTTGTAGTTTGTGGAAGACAAATCCATCCATCTTAATAATTATTTTTTTCAGAAATTAAAAACAAAAAAAATGACAATTCATTTTTATTCTAATTACTGTTGAGCATATTTTAGCACACTAAGGGACAATTCTAAACCATCTGTGACTGCCATCGTTGATTTTGGTATAAGCCATTTGTGAACTTTTTTATTGGCGTGATGTTAACGCTTTTCAAATGATATAATTAATTTCTTCAAGAAGGCAGTGGATCAGCTGATGCGAAGGTCGTGTTCTGAAATCTTCTCTCAGTTGTTGCCTATTTTTCAGCGGAATCTCTTTGATTATTTACTGAATATAGTTGAAGTGTACACCAGAGCAGTTGTTATTTACAGTTTGCTGCATTTTTTTTTTTTAATTTTTTTTTTTTTTGTTATTATTTATTTATTTATTTTTTTTTTTTTTTCTTCTTTTATGATATGCGGCATTGTCAGCCAGTGATGTCCAGTAAGGTGCCCACTAAGAGGACTCGGTCAGACGGCGTTAGCACCCCTCGTGATTCACCAGTGAAACAAAAAACTCGTCGCTGCCTGCGAGAAATAGCTCCAATAACCACAGTGAAAACTTCAGATACAGAACCTCAGCCTCAACCAGGTACCTCTTCGCAAGAAATGGTTGAAGAATCTCCTTTCTTCACTCCAAACCCGTTCCAAGTGCTTCATAATGACAGAGAAGTAATGGAGTCAGCAGCAGTACCCAGGGAACCAAGGCCTCCTCCGATATTTGTAAAAAATATCAAAAATTTTCAACTACTGTGTACACAGCTAAACGAAATCTGCTCCGGCAGTTATTCTTGCCTCAACAGGACTAACGACACAAAAATAACACCTGATACTGCAGAAGCCTACCGAAAAATTGTGAAGTACCTGTCAGAAACGAATGCAAATTTCCACACGTACCAGCTGAAACAGGAGAGATCGCTACGAGTGGTGGTGAGAAATTTACACTCCTCAACCCCAACTGAAGTGATAAAAGAAGAACTAGCGACGCTTGGTTTCAAAGTGCGTCAGGTAACCAACGTTCTGAAGGAGAATAAGGAGCAGCCAGGAGTGAGTAATAAAGTTCCACTACCTTTATTTTTCGTGGATCTAGATCCATCACCTGGCATTGAAAAAATATATGATATCAAGAGATTGTACTACACTATCGTGAAGATAGAGAAGCCATACCCCAAGAAGGAAATTGTGCAGTGCCACAATTGCCAGGCGTATGGCCACACGAAAACTTATTGTCACCATCTGCCGCGTTGCGTGAAATGCGGTGAACAGCACAAATCTGTGGAGTGCACCAAACCAATACAAGATCCTGCAGTGTGTGCACTATGCCAGGAGGGACACCCGGCCAACTACAAAGGCTGCCAAACCTATAAGAGCCTCAAATCCAGATACCAGAAGAACCGGATTCAAGATGAGACAACCAGACCAAGAAGAGAACCTTCTAGAATTGTTAACAATAATTTATCATACTCCGAACTACTTGGAGGTAAGAACCCCAATAATACATGTGAAGCCCTGCCGCAGCAACTACCTCAGCCCCAATCTCAATATTCTGTTCATCCTAACACACATAATCATCAACAACCTCAAATTCCTCATATTCCTCCTCCTTCAAATGCAACAGATCTCACTAGTTTGTTAGCATCTTTCCTAACCGATTTCAAATCCCTAGGCACTCCACTCATATCACTCCTTACAAATCTCGTATCTCACCTCATCCCTCCTTTGAAAAATCCTTAATGACCCACATCCCAAAACCCATGTCCATTCTCCTTTGGAATGCGAATGGTGTTAGAAATCACGTTGACGGACTAACAGCTTTACTACAAGACAAGAACATTGACGTAGCCCTAATTACAGAAACTCGACTGACCATAAAACAGCATTTAAAAATCCCACAGTATTTAACATACCGTACTGACCACCCTGATGGCAGAGCACATGCCGGCACTGCTGTCATCGTACACCAATCCCTCTCCCATCACTTACTCCCATTACCTACTCAAGATTTCCTACAGTCAACCGCTATTGTAATCAAAGCCTTCTCCTTTCCAGTCACCCTTGCATCAGCATATTGCCCTCCTAACAGATCCATATCCAAAGTCCAGTTCAGTTCTCTCCTCAACTCCTTAGGTCATCATTTCATCCTGGGTGCAGACTTAAATGCCAAGCATCAAGTTTGGGGTTCAAGAACCACGAATTCTCGTGGCAGAACATTTCTGTCTGCACTCAATACCCAACGTTTCAGTCTCCTTCCACCCAACTCACCTACCTACTGGCCCACAGATCCTAACCGCAATCCCGATATCCTTGATTTTTTCATCCACAGTAGCTTAGGTCCCATCAATCATTCCCTTACCCTTCTTGCCGAACTATCCTCAGATCATAGTCCATTATTACTCCAATTATCTCTAGCTCCTATTCCTAAGTCTTCTCCACCGTCCTTCATCAGAGGCCCAGTTAACTGGAAACTCTTTCACCAAATCCTTACCGATAAAATTGACCTCAGAATGACCCTGAAAACCCCAGATGACCTTGACAATACCGTACACTTTTTTACCACCACTATCCAACAAGCAATCTGGACTGCTTCCTCTCCAAACCACTCCTCAAGAACTCCTAAGAAAAATAAGTTACCTCAACACCTCATAGACCTAATCCATACCAAACGCCGTGCCAGATTATTATGGCAACGTACTAGACACCCCACCGATCGCCAATCCTATAATTATTTTTGCAAAAAACTAAAGATAGAATTGGCCACCTTCAGATCCCAATCCTTCAACTCCTACCTCACTTCCCTCTCTTCTCATGACAATTCCCTATGGAAGACCACCAAACATATCCTAAAACCCCATCATATATCACATCCTCTCCGTCGAGGTGATGGCTCTTGGGCAGCATCTGACGAAGATAGAGCCGAAGAATTCGCCAAACACCTTTCCCTTACATTCACCTCTCATCCAGAATCCAATCCCACCCACACGTCAGCAGTAGAGGAATTCCTTAATTCACCCATCCCACTCTCCTTACCGCCTAAAGCAGTTAATCCTTCTGAGGTCAAATTCCTCTTACAAAAACTACCTACCCGTAAATCACCTGGATACGACCTCCTTACCTCTCAGATCCTTAGACAACTCCCTCCTAAAGCTGTCATATTCCTTACATACATATACAATAGCATCCTACGAACCACCCACTTTCCTCTTTTGTGGAAACATTCCACTATTATCCTGTTTCCGAAACCAGGCAAACCTCCCAACACCTCAACGTCCTACAGACCAATTAGCCTTCTTCCGATTCTCTCAAAAATCTTTGAAAAGATCCTCCTGAAACGCATCCTACCCTTTATAGAATCCCAAACTCTTCCTTCCCATCAGTTCGGATTTCGTTCACAACACTCTACAGTCCAACAAGGACTCCGAGTGGTTGATCATATTTCCGCAGCATTGGAAAGCAAGCAATATTGCTCGGGTGCATTTCTGGACATAGCTCAAGCTTTCGACCGGGTATGGCACGCCGGGCTTCTTTCCAAGCTGAAAAACTATCTTCCTCAGTCCTTGTACCTTGTTCTCCGTTCCTACCTCTCAGATCGTACCTTCCGAGTTCGTTGCGGTACTGAATTTTCGCATTGCTATCCAATTGAGGCAGGTGTTCCTCAAGGTAGCGTATTGGGTCCCGTCCTTTACATCCTCTTTACCGCCGATATCCCTGTCCATCCCGATACCTTCCTGGCAACTTTTGCTGATGACACCGCCATTCTATCATCCGACTCAGATCCCAACATAGCATCCTTAAATCTCCAAAACCACCTCACCTTGATTGAGCACTGGTGTAATAACTGGCGCATTAAAGTTAATGA